TGATGATGATGATGATGATGATGATGATGATGATGATGATGATGATGATGATGATGATGATGATGATGATGATGATGATGATGATGATGATGGTGATGATGATGATGACCGACAACCACGATGTGGATGATGATGATGACGATACTCATGATGATGAGCATGATGAGGATGGTGATGATGATGGGAGGAGGGGGGAGGGGGCAGCGGGAGGAGGAACGCGGGGCACCGTCTCTTCAAAACGAGGACCCAACACCACAGGATGGTTGGGAAAAAATAGCCCCCGGACTATATTTTTACTATTTTTGAACATCCCTCCTGTAGAGGGACAGGCCCGACATACCGACGCTTTTTCCGACCCTGCGCTGGAATTCGAACAGGAGCGCGGATCCTGGTGTATACGGAATCCTGATGTATGCATTTTCCGTCGTTTCCCTTGGAAAAACGGGGGAGAAGCACACACCACACCACCCCGACGTCGCCCCCGACCCTCAGAAAGTCGTGGGCTTGAAAGAAAGCCCGCCACTGGTAATGTGTGTGTGTGTGTGTGTGTGTGTGTGTGTGTGTGTGTGTGTTCCAGTTTCCGATCAAGGGCATCCGGCCCCCTGGCGAGAATCGCGCCGAGGCTTCCCTGCATTTTCGGCGTCTGGGGGGGGGGGGGAGGGGGCGCTACGAGGCCGGGGGACTGGCAAGAACTTCTCCGGCCGGGAGCTGACCGCGGAGGAGGGGTGGAGAGGTCCAGGGGCCGACGACCCAGATGTGTCGAGGCGTCGAAATCTGGAGGGGGGATATCCTACAAATGCCGATCGCCTTTTCGGGAGGCTCTAGGCTGGCACCGCTAGATTCGCTTCGAAAAATCCTCTCCGCAACGAGCTCCAGGAGACGTCCGGGGGCCGGGCCGGGAGATGCCCCTGAGGAGGATGAGGAGGAGAAGCAGGATATATGCAGATATTATTTGGCTGCATGCGCAGGTGCACGCGCTGCAGGTAGGAAGTCACCGCGTCGCAGGTGCATGCGCTCAGCTGCCCAGGTTCAGCAAGAGGCGCAACTGCAGCCCGACCCGGGGCCAGGCGAGGGAGTCCCCGTACTGGAAGAGCGAGGGAAGGGACCCGCGGACTGTTGTGACCCATCGGGTAGATTCCCGCGTGCCCATCGGTCGGAAGGAGCAGGCAGAAACATGAAGTAGGAGGGCGTTGAGAGTATATTGGATCTCCGCCCGCCCCCTATATAAAGAGGACGGAAACGGTGAGGCCACTCGATCCTTGGAGCAGGAAGGCGCTCAAAGAGGTAGATCGGAATCTGGGACCTCAAAAATACCTGCTTTCAGCGACCGACGGGTATACGCCGCGCTCCTTCCACGCTGCGAACGCCTTCTACCTATAGGCCCTGCGGGCCATCGCGGGCCATCGCGGCCGGAAGGGCCCCGCGGGCAGCGCCCATAGGCGCTGCCACTGGGGCTACGCGGGTGCCTACGTTCAGGGAGGGCCCCGTAGGCGTGCCTGCAGGCAGGAACGGACGAGTGCCCGTGGACGGGGAGGGCCCGTACGGCAAGTTCGTGGCGTGACGACCCCGGCGCTGGCTTCTGACACTGCATGGATCGTTCCACCTTGACCTATCGGCGGCTCTTCGCTCGCCCGATCGTTCCGTAGGCCGCTTCCGGGCCACTGGTGGCGTTCAATGCTGACAACCTTGAACGCCCGCGGCGGGGTCGCCGCCAGTCGACACGACGCGAACCTACCGTGGCCTAGACTTAGGTCGGGCGTGTCCTCCTACAGGCGCATTTGGGGCGAAAGCCGAAACACACTCCAAAAACATGCAAAAATGATAAATGATAGTCGAAAGATCGTCCCCATACTTTTTCTCACTGTCTTTGAACACTCCTCCTGCAGAGGGGACACGCCCGACTTGAGCCCAGACCCCCGGCGTCATGCCTTTGGGCTTCACGAGGTCGACCCGCAGAGGTCTCGACGCGCTCGCCGTCTCCTGACGGGTCCGAGAGGGCCGGCAGCGGGACCTCAGAGAGGGCGGACGTTGGGAAGAACTTCCGCTGTGTGATTCGGAATGCCCGACCCGTTTAGAGGAAAGAGAACTATGCACATACACCGATTCTGGCCAGGCCCATCCTGAGCCCAGGATCGGTGCATACGCCCTCCTACCTTGGCCAGGAATGTATATGCACCGATCTTGGATCAAGGATGGGCCTTCCCAGGATCGGTGCATGTGCATAGTTCTCTTCGCCCGACCGTTGAGGGCCAGCACGCTTCGGAGCGACACGCTATCCAGTCCCGCGGGCCCCGAGGCCTCAGCATCCCCAGCATTCCCGGGCCTCCCGCCCCGCGGAGCGGAGCGACACGCTGTCCGCTCGCAAGGCATACCGTGCCGCCGGGGCCGCGTCTGCGACCCCCCCAAGCACCACCCGCCCTACCTGCTGACCTCCGCGGACGGTGCGGAAGAATCCGTTGAGACTCCTGGAAACTTGGAGTACGCAGCTCCAGGAAGCCCACGCATGGCTCCCATCGGAAAATGGGGCGGGAGCTTAGGGCAAAGGGTGCGGAAGACTCAGGGGGAGGGAGGGGTCTGGGAGTCGGACGTTGGGAAAACCTTCCGCTGTGCTAGTTATTCGGAATGCCCGAGCCCCCCCACCCCCAAGCTCGACCCTCCATGTCTGCCGACCTCCGCGGAAGGTGTGGGAGAACTCACCGGCACTCCTGGAATCCTCACGGGCTTCGGGGGAACCCACGTGGAGGAGATGGCTACGAGGGGCGGAAGGTCTCAGGGCGGAGGGAGCGGAAGACTCGGGGAGGAGGGGCGGGGGGGTTTGGGAGGCGTGCCCGCCAGCGGGTGTGCCACGGGCAGGGGCTGGCCTGCAGGCCAGGAGGGGGGCGAGAGCGCCGCCCCTGCGCGGGGAGGGCCCCGCCCGCCTCCGGCCCTCCGCCGCCCAAGCCGCCCAAGCCGCGCTGCAGCGGCACCGGCGAGGCCGGCGAGGCGGGCGAGACGGGAGGCGCGGGTGGCTCGAGAGAGAGGGGTCCTACAGATGGGAGCGCCCGACAGACAAGGCACACATGACCCGGAGCCGTCCGGAGAAGCCTCGGGTGGCGCTCGTGCCCTCGGTCTTCCGGCCTCCCTATAGAGAGGGGCACCCCGGCACGGCTTCTGTTGCCAAGGATGGGGGCCTATAAGAGGATGGGGAAAAGCATCCCAGGGCGGCTTCACGACGAGGTTCGAGGCAACTCGCCCCCAGGGAACCCCAGCCCTCCGGAAGACCCATCTGACCGCCAAGAAGATAAGCGGGCCTCACGCCATGACGACGTCCATGGGCGACCTTGCGCGGTGGCTTCCGCGGGCCGCCAGCGCGGCACGCTAGACTGAAAGCGAGGGCGCTCACGCGCGACCTCACGCGGGCAGCTCACGCGCCAACGTCGGCGCAGACGATCCCGTTCTCCTCCGCAGCTCGGGGGTGCGAGGGGCGGCGCAGAAGGGAAGGCCGCCGGCGTGGGCGCCGGCAAGAGCGTTGGCGAGCGCGTGGGCGATGACGAAGGCGAGGCCGTCAGCGAGGTCGCAGGCGAGGGCGCTGGCGATGGCGCTGGGCCAGGGCCAAGGTGTTGGCGATGGCGGGGGCGTAGGACAAGCCGTCGGCAAGAGCGCTGGCGAGCGCGAGGGCGCTGGCGGAGGGGGGGAGGAGAGGGAGGCAGGGGAGGAGGGCGGGAAGAGCGGGGAGGGGAGGGAGGGGAGGGGAGGGAGGGAGGGGGAGGGGAGGAGAGGGAGGGAGGAGAGGGGAGGGAGGGGAGGGGAGGGAGGGAGGAAAGGGGAGGGAGGCAGGGGAGGAGGGCGGGAGGAGAGGGGAGGGGAGGGAGGGAGGGGGAGGTGGGCTCGCCACCACCCCTCGCCCCGCCCAAGGATCAAACATTTCGAGCGCTTTCGACACTTTCGCCCCTACCCCCCAACTTAAAGGCAACTGGACGCCCCGAGGGGCCTGCAGAAGCTCCAGTGACATCCGCACATCTCAATCGGCGAAGGATGTCGTCGCCGATGGCGTCAATGCGAGGAGGGAGCGCTAGAGTGTAGGAGAGTGCAAAGAGTGCAATTAAGTCACTAGAAGGATGGAGGAGGGAGGGAGGGAAGAACGAGCTGTAACGCTTTGATCAGCACAACGTGCAGATGGCGGGCAGCCGAGGGGATAAACCGGCGGCGGTTTCGGCGTCAGAACAGCAAGACGACCAGTGTAGCCCTGCTAATCCCCGCCCAGGAGGGTGATGACGGTCTGGTAGCTGAACTGGACTGGGGCAGCCAAGCCCGCAGGCTTGCGCCAAGTCGCGGACGTCGGCCTCGAGTGGCACGCGTCCGACTCAGGCCGCATAGACGAGCCTCTGCACAGCGGCACGGACATTCGGCCTCGCCTGGCAATTGACATGCTGGGCGGGAGGGTACAAGACGCGGTCGCCCGTACCTGCGCCGGCGGGGGCGGGGGCAGCGGGCATGGCAACCGTCCCGACTGCGGGGGGCCTGTGGCAGCACCGAGGCTGTTGAGAAGGACACCTGAACCGGGACGGTTGCTGAGGAGAAGGGGAGGGAGGAGGGAGGCGGAAGGAGGGCGGAGGAGGGAGGATGGAGGAGGGAGGAAAAGGAGGTGGGAGGAGGGAGGAGGAGGAGGAGGAGGAGGAGGAGGAGGGGAGGAGGAGGCGGGAGGAGGAGGAGGGGGAGGTAGGAGGAGGAGGAGGAGGAGGAGGAGGAGGAGGAGGAGGAGGAGGAGGAGAAGGAGGAGGAGGAGGAGGAAGAGGAGGAGAAAGAAGAGGAGGGGTGGGAGGAGGGCGGAGGAGGAGGAAGGAGGAGGAGGAGGAGGAGGAAGGAGGAGGGAGGAGGAGGAGGAGGGGAGAGGAGGAGGAGGAGGAGGAGGAGGAGGAAGGAGGAGGAGGAGGAGGAGGAGGAGGAGGAGGAGGAGGAGGAGGAGGGCGGAGGAGGTGGAAGGTGGAGGCGGAGGAGGAGGGAGCCGCCCCACCCTCGGCCTCGCTGCCCTGCGCGGCGGCGCCGCCGCTCGCCTCGTCGGCCCCGCCCACGGGGTCCGGGGCAACGGAGCAGCTGCTCCTCGCGAGCGCTCGGGGCAAGGGGGGGGGGGGGGCGGTCCGAAGTTCGGCGGTTAGCGGGGAGGTTAGGAGGCAACTACTGGGAGTTGCTCGTCGGAAGGAGTAAAGAGGATTAAGCCCCATTCGGGGGCTGTTACGCCGGAGTGTGCCTCGTATTAACCCAGATCATGCGGGATTAAGCTGGAGTAAGCGGGATTAAGCCGGATTTCGCACCAGGGCAAAATCAGAATTTGACCTCCCAGGAGATGCATCCGAAGGGAGGGGAGGCTTTGGCCATTGTCGTTGCCGCCGAACACGCGTCAGGGCCACGTAACTCGACAACGGCGACGCGCCCCATCCCATGCTCAAGTCGACGAGGACCCCTTGCTTGAATGTCTGGCGGCGCGTTCGCGCTCGGCGAGTGAGCCCGTCCCGCAAGTCAGGTCAGACGAAGCAGCTCACGCACGGTGCGGGCATTGGCAACCTCTGCTTTCATATCCTGGTTCGCTGAGTTTATTATGTGGGACAGCGGTTGACGACGCCACCGCCGGGGAGCGTTTCTTGTGCCAGCCCCTTGCCGAATTCCGATCGCGCACCGAGGTCACTTCGTGGTTTACTAGGAGGCGCCGTCGCCAAAAGAAAGATCACCAATTTCAGAAGAACGTATCCCAGGCATTTTAGGGCGGCGCTGTCGCCAAACATGAGCGGCAGTGTGAACTCGACAGTGAGGGGTCATGGGATCAGAAGTCCAGGGTAAGGGGGGCCAAAAGGAACTCCAATCGCGCGTTGGCCATGGATCTCGCCGCCGCCCTCGTCAGACAATGAAAGGACCCCTGAGGCCTGAAGCCTCCTGAGCACATCTCTTTTTCTTGTGGCATCTTCGAGCCCAGTCAGAACAGGGCGCAGCCGGACTTGCACAGAGGAGGAAAGGAGGATGAGGAGGAGGAGGAGGAGGAGAAAGGAGGAGGAGGAGGAGAAGGAGGAGGAGGAGCACATCTCTTGACCAAGTCCCCCCCCGCGGTAACCCGGCGCCTCCCAGCGCCGGAGGTGCCAGCACACCGAGGAGAGCGCCCACCGGCGGCGCCGAAATCAGACGTTCTCGCAGCGGATTGCGTGACACCCCCTTTCTCTATCTGCCTCCTCTCGTCTGACCTCCTCCTCCTCCTCCGTCCTCCGTCCTCCCTCCTCCCTCAGCCCTCCTCCCTCCTCCCTCCCTCCCTCCCTCCCTCCCTCCCTCCCTCGATCCCTCCTCCTCCGTAGCCATGTTGGCTCGAGGCTATGAGTTCCCCCGTGGAATACACAGATGCCGCTAGTCCGCGGCCAGTGCCAGAGCGCTTGCGCTCGACAGTCCATTCACTCAGCCAGTACCCCAGGGGCTCACTGGCGGCCCAAATCCGTGTGGGGCTCTCCGCGGAGGCGGGCCCGCTGCGATGTCCCAGACTCGACACCAGCAAAGTCGGATGGCGTGGGCAAGGCCGGGGCTATGTCGCCGGTGCACGAACACAGCGGTCGAGCGCTGGCGGGACCCAGCTGCAGCCAAAGTGTGTGGCAGTGAATATAAGTGTGCCAAGAACGTCGCCTTTTTCTCCATCGAACCACCCAAGTCGCCGTCATGGTCGCTGGGTGCAGGAGGCGGCAAGTCCAAAGGCAAAGGTGTTGACAGCAGCAAGGCGGTGCGAGAGAAGGCCCTGGAGACGCAGCTTGCCGACCTACGCAAGCAGCTGGAGTCCAAGGGCGACGACGATATGCAGATCGACGAGGGCGGCGGGAGGACGTCAACCGCGGCGGCCGTCGACAATGGCAAATGGAAGGCTGAGCTGGCGGTGGCTGAGGCCGTGCTCAAGGCGCTGCCGGTGAGCCGACCTCGAAGTTCGCCCTTCAGCAGAAGATGCATCTCGAGGCTGCACGGCCAAGCTGCAGGACGCGCAGCGCTTCGAGTGGAGGGTCCATGATGTGGTCAACCAGAAGAAGCAGCTCACCATCAAGCGGGACAAGCTCGAGAAGGCAGTGGAGGCGGCGAGGGCGGCCGTCGAGGAGGCAAGGCATGTGTTGGAGGAGGCCGAGCGATTACATCCTGAGGTGCTCGAGCAGATCGTGGCGAAGGAGGCGGAGCTCAAGAAGGTGCTGGACGCCTAGCCCAAGCTCCCGCCCGAAAGGGCGCTCTCCTCCACCATCGAGAATTGCGGAGTTTCGGTAGGAGGGCCGGTTCAGCTCTTCAGGGCATGAGGACTGGGAGAACATGAGGCCGCAAAATTGTCAGCTCACCTCAAGACTGCCATGTCCGCCATCATGGATGCTGAGAAGAGGAACAGGGCGGAGGTACAGCAATCAGAGCCTGTGCACGTTCATGATGATGCTGGTGGCCATGCTCCTGCCACTGCTCCTTCTACCCTCATGCATTGCATGTGCGAGCTGCCGGATGGGACAGAGGATGCTGATACATAGCGGAAATTTTTGGAATCGCTGCGGCAGGTTTCTCCCTAGGCGTCACGGTCAAGATGCTCAGCGAGGGCATTCAGAGCTTGCCGAAGCGGGCCCGCGCGGCGTGAGAGCATGTTGATGTGGTTGTGTTACTGTTGTGCATCAGCGACGGAAACTACTATTCAGACTCTCCATTTCACCTCGTCCCAGCAGCTCAAGAGGTTCCTCCCACACAGCAAGGAGATGATGCCATGCGCGCAGGAAAACAGGCTGCTGGCTGGCAAATTGGCAGACTTTCAGAACAGTGTGCAGTATTTGAGTTGGCATGGGGTTTGGGCAGAGGCCCAGGCCACGGCTGCTGTCAATACATCGGCTGGTGTTGCGGCGTTGGTACCCAAGAAGGTGACTATCGCGGCCAGGCCCAGCTCGAAGGCGGGAACACTGATCCCACGAAGGTCCCTGGCGGCCCAGGTGCATTGGGGAGATCCCACAGGTCTTATCATACACGCTGTCTAAATGCATGTGGGCCAAGGCCTTTCTGCCAGGAGTGTAGATATCCTCCGAGTTGTGGCCGATCATGTGCATTTGATGACTTCGAGTGGGAGGTCTTGGATTGTTTGAGGTAATCTTAATACGTCGAATGCTGACCTTACGTGTCAAGACTGGCTTTTATCGATTGGAGGTCTGACAAACACAAGCGTGGAAGCGACGTGCCGTCAGTCGCTTCCTGGACCGATCCTTGATTACTTGGTGATTGACGAGAGGTTGGATGGGGGAGTTCGGAAGCCCTTTGTTGTAGAGGAAGCTGAGGCCAAATCACATCTGCCTGTCAGCATGACCCTCGAGGCTAAGGAGAACCATCTGCTGCTGCGCAACATGGAAGAGGCCAAGGCTCTTACTGCCATGGTCAGGCCAGGCTGCGCCAGATTCCCATGCTGGTAGGGATCCGTCTCAAGTAGACTGAAGAAGTGAAGTCGCGGGAGGGCTTGGCAGACGCCTGGCTCGAAGTGCGGGGCAAGAGTGTAGCGAGGTGAAGGCCAATGCAACCGGTGACACCGACTACGCATGGAAGCCCGCCGAGAGATGGGCGAGGCACATTCAGAGGGCCCGAGGCTCTATTCGCGAAGCTGCTGGACGGCCTGCGGGAGGAGCTCAGGGCTATGGGCTGTTCTGGCGGGAGTCTCTTTACGGCGGAGACGGCGCGTTCGGCATCCCAGAGCACTGCACAGGCCGCCTCAGGCGCACCGCCAGAGGCAGAGAGGATAGGGTTGAGGTGGGCCCGCGATCCTTATGGCGATTTTCTTGTGGCATCCTCCACGTGCACGTCGCCCCAGAGAACTAAGCAGGCTGCTCCAGGCGAGTCGCCAGGGGTAGAAGAGATGGGGCCGAGGCGGGCTCGCGACCTCCATGGAACGTCTTCTACTGCGTATACGTCGGGTTCGGCGTCCCAGAATGTTGCACAGGCTGCCTCAGGCGATGCGCCAATAGTAGCGGGGATGGGGCAAGCTGCCCGCGATCACGCTGGACCCGAGGTGTGTGGCGCGGATTCTCGTCGGGCTCATTGTGACATTATGCGAAATGCAATGGAGGGGCCTGCTTCTGCCAAGCACGCGAGCACAGGCTGACTCTTGTCTGGGAAGCGATGGGCCACAGGTCGGGAATGCTGGCTATGGTCATTTCGTGGAGGAGGCCTGTGCTGGGGCTGTCAGGCTGAGTTTGCCAAATTGCACGCCCGCTGCATCTGGCGATCGATTGGTGAGATGCGGCGAGGCCATGCTTGGCGCAGGCGTCGGTGGCACGTCCTCCCCCAGATGCGGCAACGGTAATGCCAGGACCAGCACCCTGCAAAGGATGGCTAGGCAATTGATCGAGTTGGACCACTTCAGCTCCAAAGTGGCGAAGGCCAAGAAGATACATGAGTTGCTGGATGAGGACACAGGCATTTGTTTCAAGGCAAGCTGTGTTGGATGGTTGGGGGACACCTAACTCGAGGTGAACATGGAGGCGACGATTGCCAAAGCGTAGATGGCCTTGGACGCGTTCGTCAGGAAGAGGCAGAACGCGTGGACTCAGTGGACAGAGGAGGCGTTCAGAGAAGGACGGGATGCGCATCGGTTCACGCGAACCCGCGGAGTCCAGGCGGCCCTGGATGCTACTGAGTTGTCGTCTCCTCCAGAGCTTGTGGATTGCGAGCTTGGGCAATGGAGAACGGTGTGAGCTGCACGGCGCGGAAGAGCTTCCTCTGCCTAGCGACGCTGCAGGTTTGGGGCAACTACCGCCGCTGTGTGGAACCAACCTGAGAAGAGTGGTGCTTTCCTTGGCAAGGCGCGCTGGACGTGGACAGGTGCGCGTGCTGCCAAGACACTTCTGGTTCGTAGCAGATGCTGGACTGGAGGTGCTGGCGGCGTTGTCCAACACGTGCGAGAGATGGCTAACGTGGCCCCAGTCGCAGTTTTCCTGGAGATGTGCATGCTGCCCAAAGCGAGCGGCGGCACACGTCCCATTGCTCTCCTCAACACAATATTGAGGATCTGGGACCGAGCGAGACGGCCCCTCAGCGCGCAGTGGGAGAATGCTCACCCTCATCCTGCATTGTGGGGAGGGGGCTCGGGAAGAACATCTAGCGACTGCGCGTTCCAACTTAATCTTGAAGCTGAAGCAGCACATGCGCACAAGCAGCACGTCATCACGGTGTTTGTGGGCATGCGCTGGTGCTATGATACGATATTGTGGAATGCTAGTATGTGTGAGGCGCGCGTGCTCGGCTTCCCGGTGAGGCTCATGTGGATGATCCTGCAGACATGTATGATTTCACGCACGGTGCGAACAAATTCTAAAATGAGCGTCATGTGCACTTCGTATCAGGGTATGTTAGCTGGTTGTACGCACGCTACTATTGTACTTGAGATGGCCATGTATCGGGTGACGGATAAGATGTATGCACGTTACTTGGATGCGGGGCCCCGAACCTTGATGGATGACATTGCGTTACACGTCGGTCGAAAGAAGTATGTAAAAAACATGAAGTAGGAAGGCGGAAGAAGTATATTGCGTTCGAAGCCGCCCCAAAAAAACATCAACAACAATTACAAGAAGTAGATTACAAATCTTCCGGGCCCTGTCTCAGCGGCACGCAATTGCCCTGGGTCGATCGGGCCCTCGACCAAGGAGCGGCTGGGCCGAGGGCAGAGCGACCGAACAGGCAGCCGAGGGGCCAGGCGCGACCAGAGCCACCGACGGGCAACAGAAACCAACGAAAAACAGCAAAAACAGCTAAGGAGTGGCGGGGCCGACGGGCAACAGAAAATAACCAAAAACAGCCGAAAACAGCCGAGGAGTGGCTGGGCCGACGGCAGAGCGACCGATGAGGCAGCCGAGGGGCCAGGCGCGGCTCTCGGTCGCTCGGCCCCTGGGGCGCCCCTTCCCTGTCTGGTTTTGGTTGTTTTCGGTTGTCTGTCGGTTGTTTCGGTCGCTCCTGGCCCTTGGGCTGGCTCTCGGTCGCTCGGCCCTTGGGGGGCCCCTTCCTTGTCTGGATTTGGTTGTTTTCGGTTGTCTGTCGGTTGTTCTGGTCGCTCCTGGCCCCTGGGCTGGCTCTCGGTCGCTCGGCCCCTGGGGTGCCCCTTCCCTGTCTGGTTTTGGTTGTTTCCGGTTGTCTGTCGGTTGTTCTGGTCGTACCTGGCCCCTGGGCTGGCTCTCGGTCGCTCGGCCCCTGGGGGCGCCCCTTCCCTGTCTGTTTTTGTTGCTTTCGGTTGTCCGTCGGTTGTTCTGGTCGTCCCTGAGTCCTGGGCTGGCTCTCGGCCGCTCGGCCGCTGGGGGTGCCCCTTCCTTGTCTGGTGTTGGTTGTTTTCGGTTGTCTGTCGGTTGTTTCGGTCGCTCCTGGACCCTGGGCTGGCTCTCGGTCGCTCGGCCCTCGGGGTGTCCCTTCCGTGTTTGGTTTTGGTTGTTTTCGGTTGGCCGTCGGTTGTTCTGGTCGCCCCTGGCTCCTGGGCTGGCTCTCGGTCGCTCGGCCCCCGGGGCGCCCCGTCCCTGTTTGGTTTTGGCTGTTTTCGGTTCTCCGTCGGTTGTTCTGGTCGCTGCTGGCCCCTGGGCTGGCTCTCGGTCGTTCGGCCCCTTGGGGTGCCCCTTCCCTGTCTGTTTTTGTTGCTTTCGGTTGTCTGTCGGTTGTTTCGGTCGCCCGTGGCCCCTGGGCTGGCTCTCGGTCGCTCGGCCCCTGGACCCCGCCCCCACAGTGCGGCGCTAGCGAAAGCGCGGCCTGCTGTAAGGCCGCGGGACGTGCCAGCCGCGAAGCGGTCAGAAGCGGGCCCTCAGGAGACGACGATGACGATGGCGGCAGCGGTGCAGCCCCCCCATTTTGCTGCTGCGCTGGCCGCATGCTCCTCCCGCCGGCGTTGATACGCCTGGCGGGCCCCCCCTTTCCGCCACGCGAAGCGGGCCTCGCCGCGGTGCCGTTAGACACCAAGGCAAATCCCAGGGTGGGCGGGCAAAAGAGGGCCCATTCGGGCCCTGGGAGGGCTTTGAGCCCCGAAGGCTTGAGCGGGAGAGAGGGAGAGAGAAGGGCAGGCAGAGGCAGGAGCAGGGAGAGGAGAAACCCAAGCCGACTGGGGAGGGCGGGGTCCAACCGTTTAGGACAAACAACTAAGACCCCGCCCCCCCAGTACGGCGCTAGCGAAAGCGCGGCCTGCTGTAAGGCCGCGGGACGTGCCAGCCGCGAAGCGGTCAGAAGCGGGCCCTCAGGAGACGACGATGACGATGGCGGCAGCAGTGCAGCCCCCCCCATTTTGCTGCTGCGCTAGCCGCATGCTCCTCCCGCCGGCGTTGATGCGCCTGGCGGGTCCCTCCTTCCGCCACTATCTTAAGCTGACGTCAGTATGCCCGGCACGACCAGGCTTGGCATAGAGAGCCGGCGTGCCAGGCAGGCTCCAGCATGGCCCTTGTCCAACGGCTGCAAGGGGACCCACAGTATCCCAGGCACTGGTGGGGCCCCGACGGACAAGCCTGTGCGCATGCGTCTGCGCTGAGGTATTAGCCAGTGCCGAAGGCACGGGTGGGTGTACTCTGCGAGCGCGCGGCTGATCCGCCGGCGGCGCAGGTGGCTGGTGACTGCACTCAAGCACGCACGGCGGGAAGGCCGGCGGCTTGGGTTGGGCGCGCGCCAGGTGTGCAAGCACCGGCGGCGCCCGCTGCGGCCCCCTTATGGGCTCTCACGCCTGGCGCTCTCAGCGCCGGCGGCAGCTCTGCTGGGGGCGTTGTCCTTCGCCGGGTTAGTCAGCGAGGAGGTGCCCCTGGCCATCTTGCCGGAGATGCCCTTCATCGGCTCGTGCGACTCCCACAGGTAGCCGTGGAACGCGTCCGACTGCCAGCGCCCGAATCGGCGCACGCGGGAGAGGTCCTCGGTCACGTGGTACATTGCAGTCGCCCCGCCGATCCTCAGGGAATGGCTGCCGATTTCCTCTCTAGAGGCCGGCGGCCAGCCCCGCGACCGTCAGGAAGTGCTGCACCTCTGCCCTGCGGATCGGTGTACCTGACGCCCAGCGGAAAAGGGGCAGCCGTTCCTCGGTGCCCTTTATCCGCTGGGGATGGTGAGCCTGGAGCCGCTCCATCGCCGCGATCGGGCGGAGCGTCGTGCCGTGGCGGTAGTGGTTCCTCACCGTCCCGACGTTGAGCTGGTCCGTCTTGCTGCCCTTGATGTAGATCACCATCTCGTCGGCGTCTTGGAAGCTGACCACTCGCTTCCCGTCCTTCTTGTGTCTACGTCCTCCCCGTGCAGCACGCGCTCGAAGGACCACGAGCGCCCGTCCTGGAGGAGGTACTCTGAAGCCCTCAGGAGGAAGAAAAACGCTGTCACAATGGCCGCCCAGATGACCACCGCATCCTCCTCGGGGAGCTTGGCTTCTTGCTGGGGAAAGCCGCGGAGCCACTCGAGCATGGCTGGCGTGACGGGCTTCTTCCGCTTGGTCTCGGGCCCCTGCCAGCGTTTTAGCCCTGCCAGGGTGCTCCAGAGGCGACCCCTGTGGAGCAAGGGATCCGAGTAGCCGGCCACCAGGTGGGCGCACCGCACCGCGAAGAGCTTCTGCTTGATGGCCCCCTCGGTCCTCCCGACGACCCGCGCTAGGAGGACGGCGAAGTCGATGAGCGCCTCCTCGTCGGCCAGGCGCTCCTCGCGATCGCGTCCTGTGAGCCAAAGGCTAAGCCCCTGCGCCTGGCGCACGGCTACCCAGAGCCGCCATCCTCCCTCGTAGCCTGCCCTCGTGCCTTCGCTGAGTTTCTGCAGCATGGCCTCCATCTTCTGCTGCGCGAACCAGCTGGCGTAGTTGGCCCCGCCAGGCTCAGCGCGGCCAGCGGGGGCGAGCTCCTTCCCGGGGTAGTTGTTCCTCCGCGCTACGCCCAGCGCCTGCGGCCTCACCAAGTTGGTCGCTGGCATCTCTTTGGCACGTCAAGGGCTCTTTTTTACGAGGGCTCTTCGAGCGAGTTACACTCTTATCCAGCTTGACCTTCTCTGCGGCCGGGGCCTCGCGGGATCCGATGAGCGTGTCCTCATCGATCATCTTGAAGCGGATTGCCTGGGTACGCCGGCGATTCTTGTGCATCTCGTCAGTGAGCGCCCCTTCTGCCCTCGCCTCATCCTCCGCTGCCAGCGCTAGTGCGGGCTGATCTGGTGCCTGTGCCCAAGCGCGGAACCAGCGCTTGGTAGCATCCCACGCGGCCTGCTCCTCTGGATCATGGCACACTCCGGCGCGCTGCGTACTGGTGTTGTCGAGTGCCTCCGCCACCGCGGCCAGCACCGCCTCCGCGGTCCTCGGTGGGAGCGCCCTGGCGGCGCCCTTCATGAGCTCGTCCTCCGTGGAGCCCTGGGTCCGCAGGTGGGTCCACTCGTCGTTGGTCCCTCCCTGCACTCGCCAAACCTCTTGGGGCGTCAGGGCACGGACCGTGCCCCCGCCTCCTCCGGTGACACGGAGGAGCGTTGCTCCGGGTCCTTGGAGTTCTGCCCCCGGCCAACGGATGGTGCCCACCGGCCCCTCCTCACTGTAGATCAGGTGCTTCACTCCATCCTTCTTGAGGTGCCCGACTGGCTTGAGGAGGAGGGGGTCGCTGGTGGACTGAATGCGGGGGTCCCACGACACTTCGCCCTGCTGGTCGAGCCAGAGGTGGTCCTTTCCCTTGTCCAGGAGCGGCTTGACGCTGGCAGCTCGCGAGCAGGCCGGCGGCATGTTAACGCACGCCAGGCCCACTCCCGCTTTCCGACGCCCGCCCGTGAGCACTTGCCTGGTCCGCGTGGTGGCGTCCCCGCGGTGCGTGCAGACCACCTCGAACTTCGAGATCATGTAGCCCAGCTGCATGAGTGCCTTCTCGAACCTGGCTGTATCCACCACGGTCGGGGCGTCCACGACCACCACTTCAGGGCTCTCCCGGGTTGCTGCAACGAGGAAGGCCTCCATCTCTCTGCCCTTGGGGTCCAGGGACAGCGACGCCATGAGCCATCCTGCTTTCTGGTTCTCCTCGGGCTCTGAGCCACCGAGGCGCTTGAAGGCCTTCGTGTACGGGTTGATGAGGCCCCCCACTTCTCTGCCCAGTTTTCCGCGGAGCGGGAGAGGCCTCGGCAGCCCATGCCCTCGCTGAAGTGCTCGGTGTCGAAGGGCAGCCTCGGCCACGGGACCCGTCCCCCCTGGGAGTCTGAGAAGGCGCTCCTTGGCGTCCTCCAGTATCTGGCCCCAGGCTGCGGGAGGCTCGAGGCGCTTCCAGCCTGAAGTGGCCAGCGTGTCGCGAACCTTCTTGACCTCCTTGCGGGTAAGCCAGTCGGCCACTTCGTTGTGGTAGGTCCTAACAAAGAACGAGACGATGCGGCACCCGTGCATGGCTTCGATCCTCTCTACTAAACGGATCAGGTGGCGGGCGAGGGCGTTCTTGGGGCTTCTCTTGGTGAGCCATGCCTTCACATTCTGGTTGTCCGTGACGTAGAACACCAGCTCGCCTTCCCACTTCGAGCCCTGCTTCGTGGCCAACGCGACCACTGCCAACAGCTCAACCACCGCGATGATCCAGTCCTCCTCGCTGCTCTCGCCCCCGACCGCTTGACTCAGGGCCTCGAGCAGAGGTCCAGCGTCCGCGGCCATGTACTCCGGCGTCGGCGTGGCCCCTCCTGCGGTTGCGCTCCCCCAGTCGATGGCGCCAATCGAGGAAGTGGTGGCATCTCATCTGTCCACCGCGTGGCACGTGCTGTTCCCGGCAGTGCGAGGCGTTCGCGCACTGAAAGGGCTTGCGTGAAGCTGGCCTGGAAAGTCGTGCTCCAAGCTTCGGGGACGTCGAAGAGCGTCCTCAGAAAACCCACCGACGCGCCCCACTCCTCCCAGGCGAGCTCGACCTCCTCAGGCGCACCCGTCGGCTCTGCCCAGCTCGTCCCGCTGCTCAGGAGCCGGTCCAGGGCAGGTAGCTCGGGGCGGAGGGCAGGCTGTGCTGAAGCCCAAAACTGGGCACAGCCTCGCAGCTCTTGGGCGACCTTCAGGGGGGCCCGCCTTGATCCCCTAAGCTCCGGGAGGGCGAGCAAGTACTGGGCCTTGATGCACTTGGGTTCCGGGAGCCTAACCACCTTCGTGTCGAAGTTCATGTGGAGGCCCCAGATCAGCTGCTCTGCGGCAAACTCCCCCTCGACGTCCAGCTTCTCCTCGTTGACTGCGTCCGGGCCCCAGACCCGCTTCATGGCCCCGTCGAGCTCCTCGGCCGAGAGCCAGGGTCGGAGGCCCACCAGCGGTTCGAGGACGACCCCGTCGTCCATAAGCCACTTGGAGGCGTACTTGACGGCATCGTTGATCCTGGGCGCCGGCGGCTTCCTCCTCTCGCGCTCGCTCTTGGCTGCCCAGGCGAACGCCATGTACTCGCCGGGGCTGCCGGCCCAGCCGAAAACCAGCACGCCGTGGATCAGGATAACTCGCCCTGGCACTCCGACCTCCTTGCCCGGGAGCGTCGTCCCGAACTCTAGCACTGCAGCTGGCTCCAGGTGGTGCCACTTGAAGGCCCTGGCCACATCGCGCTTTGCGACCACCTGTTGGACGCCCGGGTGCCTCGCTTCCCACCAGAGGCTGAGCCGAGCAAGCCCCCTGTTGAGGGGCTGCTTAGCTGGTGGGTGCTGCTCCTTCGGGGAGAAGGCGTTGGCCGCACACATGTCGTGGATCGGCCGGCCCTCCTTCGAGATGGTCCGATCCGGCAACATCTTGGGGGCCCTCCCGCTGGGCGATGCGACCAACGCCGAGGCAGCGAGCACATCCTCGACCTCGTCCGAGGCCCAGAGGACGACGCCGTAACGGCTGTCCTTCCAGGCTTTCTCGAACATCTCCAGCGCGTGGTCCACCGCCGAGGAGTGCGACTTGGCCTGCGTGCGCGCCCGCTCCTCCGCGCGCCGCACGGGTACCCCTCCGGTGGCCGCTGCCCGGAGGTAGGCGGCGCGATGCGGGTCCAGGGACTTCTGCACGTCTTCCTGGAGCACGCCGCCCAACGGGTTCCCGTGGATCTCCTCTCGCGCGTGCTTCAGCAGCTCGGCAGCTCTCTCTATGCTGCCGGCGAGACGGAGGAGTGAGTTGCCCCGCTTCACGACTTCTGGCACCTTCTCGGGCTGGAAGGTAGGGTGGTCCGCGCACCACTTGACGTAGGCGCGCGCCTCCTCCTGCGCCCTCCCCCCGCTTGGCGCCGCCGGCGCCTCCCCCAAAGGGGGCCCCCCACAGCGGCCTCCCCGTGGGGGAGACGGCCACGGGGGTGGCATCATCGGCGGCATGCCCGGTGGTCTGCAGATCTGCCCTGGGAGGAGTGGGCGCCACCCCGGAGGCCTCAGCAGTGGCCGGACTGCGTGGTCCGGGGGCACGAGTGGCCCTGCTGGCTCGTCCTGGCGGGGCCTGGGCTGCGAGGGCTTCCCCTTGGAGGTGGCGCGCAGCTGGGCACCCAACGATCTTGGCCTGGGCCTGGGTGTGGGCGCCTCCTCAGGCGTTCCTGCGCTGCCGGCGTCTGCCCTCCCAGTAGGGGGGGTCTCCGCTGGAGGTCGTCGACCTACCTGCGGCCCGCCTGGCTGCTTCCACTACCGTCTCTGCCGAGCGGCTTCGCCTCGTAGGTGCTGCCTTCTGGGGGATCGTGGTGGGGAGTCTGCTCTTCTGATGCCGGGCTGGGTCTGAGGGGGCCTCCAGGGCCTCGGGCGGCGGTGGTGCGCTCGGCGGGGGCCTTGCGCCCGCAGCGGGGGCAGGGCCTCCGCTGCCGCTCGCCCCAGGGGAGCTCTGAAAGGGCTCCTCCCTGCTCCGCCTGGCTGCTTCTGCTTGCCCAGGCCAGAGGCTCAGAGGATCTGGGTCCTCTGGGATGGGTGGGTCTGGTCCCTCCTTGGCCCTCGCGTACGGCTTCTCCACTACCTCGTCCTCCGAGCTCTCGGCGGAGTCCGCGTCATCGCTCGGAGGTTCCTCCTCCGCCTTTTCGTGCACGATCCTCTGGCGCTTCTTCGCGGGGATGTCGTCCAGCTCCCCTGCCTTCACCATCTTGCGGGTCAGCCTCTCGAGGATGTCGACGTACTCGCTCGCGAGCTCGCCCTGCTCCTCGTAGGGAGTGCCGGTCCAGCTCCGCGGTACATCCTCGAACATGGAGCTGATTCCCTCGATCAAGAGTTCGCGGGCTTTCCTCCTCCGATCGGGCCCTGTGGGATCGTCGGCCGAGACCCCGAGCAGGTTGTTCAGGATGCACTCCGCTTCGTGGCACTTGTTCTCCCCATCCAGGATGGCCGAGGGCAGGGGGGTCTCGTCCTCCCAGGCTGGGTCAAGTGGGGTGGCCGCACTCTGCCCGCTGGGGGGTTCCGAGCTGGCCTGGCGGGGATGCCCGGCTCGCGCCTGCTCCGCCTCGCGCTTGCCGGCATCCCTCGCACGACGGGCCCGGCGGCGTTCCTTTGCCTCTGCCAGCTGTATCTGCAGCTCCTTGATGCGCTTCTCCTCCTCCTCCAGGACACCTACCTCGGCGGCTCTGGCGGCTTCGAGCTTCCTCCTTATGCTCTCCAGCTTGATGCTGTCGGCTGAGCTGCCGCCACTGCTGGACCCTCCAGCGGGTGCCTCGCGGCTCTGCCTCTGGAGGGCCTGAGCAGCGGCCTGCTGGAAACGCTTCCCTCCCGAGTGCGGTGGGGGAGTCCGCCTGTTCCAGACGACGCCAAGCTCCGGGCTGCCAAAGCCCTGGGAGCTGGCTCGG